CGGAAAATAAAGCCTTTTCCGGAGGATTTCTTGAACAAGAAATCCTCCGGAAAAGGCTTTATTTTCCGGAGAATAACGTCTAGACTGGCGCTTTTCTCTGGCTTTCCCCCAAGCCAGAAAAAAGCGGCAGCCATGTTAATGCAAATGCCGCGGGGGATATTTAAATCCCCCGCGGATTTGTCTATTCCAACGTGCTACATTAGCATCCTTTTTCCGGAAAGGGGTGCCAATGTAGACACAGCCCATATGTGTAGCTATTATGGAAAAGTAGTTAATTCCTTTAGTTTGAAATGTTTTAACACAGGATTTTTACCCCCATTATTCCTTTACCTTATCAAGGGTTTGTCTCCATGGCATGACACTAAAGTTATATACTCTATTCCAACGTGCTACATTAGCATCCTTTTTCCGGAAAGGGGTGCCAATGTAGACACAGCCCATATGTGTAGCTATTATGGAAAAGTAGTTAATTCCTTTAGTTTGAAATGTTTTAACACAGGATTTTTACCCCCATTATTCCATTACCTTATCAAGGGTTTGTCTCTATGGCATGACACTAAAGTTATAAAGTTAAAGCTCACAAGCTACAGCACCCTAAATCTGAGAGATTTCAGTGGTCACTCTGTTCCATTTAAATATACTGTTGGTTTTTTTTAAAAAAAAATGGCTGAAAGGGTGAAACCTGGCTGGCTTCCACTGCATCAGTCTGTTCATGGAGAGAAACTGCTGGATCCCCAAGGGCTCCTCAGTCTAGTGGTTATGACTCAGTGCAAATCAATAACTGGAAGCTGAAGCCACACAGATTCAGACTAGAATGGCAGCATGGATGTTTGACAGGGAATCTAAGAAACATAGAACACTAGAACTGAAAAGGACCTTGAGAGATCATCAAGGCCAGTCCACTGCCCTCATGGCAGGACCAATTACCATCTAGACTAGGGATTTAATAGTGTAGTCAATAAACTGATAAGCAAAAGCCTATAGCTTAATGCTATGACTACATGCATTCCCCTCTCTCCCTCCCTCCCCCCTTCCCTTGCCAGCAAATTTTTTAGCAGGCTGGCCAGCAGCCGGGCTTGGTCCTTGCTCATGCCAAATCTGGGACCTAGCTTCACTGCTGCTTTGCATTTAAAGTGTATTAGGAGCCAGGCAGGCAGGCAGCCTGGCTCTGTTCTGGCTCACACCGGAACTACATCAGAGGCAGTATTGTGGGGCAACAGGCAGCTGATCCACAAGGGGAGCTGGCTTTTAAAATGGCTCCCCTCATGGACCAGCTCCCGCCTGGCACCCCACGCTACTGCCGCTGATACAGAAGCAGCAGCACAGAGTGGCAGGCGGCTTCTTGGGAGTGGGGCAAGAGCACACTGGCTGCTGGCCCCACCTCCAGGGGCTCTAGAATAGTCAAGTAATCGATAAGAATATATGAGATTACTCAACTATTCAGTTAACCTATATATAACATCCCTAGTCTGGACCATCCCTGACAGATGTCTATCTAACCTACTCTTAAATATCTCCAGTGATAGAGATTTCCCAACTTCTCCGGGCAATTTATTCCAGTGTTTAATCACCCGGACAGTTAGGAAGTTTTCCTAACATCCAACTAAACCTACCCTGATGCAGTTTAAGCCCATGGCCTCTGATGATAGGATAAGAAGCAAAAGATAATTTTTTTCTCCCTCCTCCTTTTAATACCATTTTAGATGCTTGAAAGCTATCATCATATGCCCTCTCAGTTTTCTCTTTTCTAAACTAAACAAGCCCGATTCTTTCAGTCTTCCCTTATAGGTCATGTCTTCTAGACGTTTAATTGTCTTTGTTGCTCTTCTCTGGCCCTTCTCCATTTTCTCCACATCTTCCTTGAAATGTGATGTCCAGATTTGGAAACAATACTCCAATTGGGGACTAATCATTTGGAGGGAAGATGATGAGCTGCTGAATCAAATGACTGAAGAACAGGCAGATTCTCCATCTCCTTACTGTCTTCAATGCAAAACTTGATGACTTTCTAGAAAAAAAGAGTCTGAGGGAATAAACCCTGTCCTGGGATAACGGGATTAAATCCAATGGCTCATGACGCAGATGAGACTAGAGTATGTGATCTAATGATCCGCCCGCTCCCCCCTCCCCCCCCGCTCCCAGTCTTGTGAATCTTAGGATCTCATCCTGTAAACATTCAACATGTGTGTTTAATATTAAATATCTGAATGGTCCCCTTGACTTCACTTAATCTCTGTTCTGAAGAGAATTTATAAATTGTCTGTCTGCTTAGTCCTGATGAGAGGGCATAGGCCTGTACTACAAACAAATGAAGGAAGACTAGTGACTTTAAATATGGGAGCCTAAATTTAGACACATCCATATTCAGACAGGTGAATCTGGGGCTTTTTATCAGAAACACTGGACACTCAGAACTGAATCCCATTGTTGCAGGTGCAGTAATACTGAAATTCAAGCTACGTATTGAGAGAGATTTCAAATCCATAGTCATTTAACTTGCGTACTGTTTATGGAATATCTATAAGCAAGCTTTTGCCCAAAGTGGCAGTCTAGCATGTGTGTCACCAGGGATAGAGTCTGGGGAGAGTGGTAAGGATTAAAGCCCCTTCTGAAATGTCTCCAATTGCCCTTCTCCTCCTCACAGGCTGCAGAACACCCATGTCTGTCCCCAGCACAGCCCAGGAGATGAAGAGCCTGAGAAAGGAAATGGCTATGGCGGAGCCGGTGACCTTCGAGGAGGTGGCTGTGTATTTCTCTGAGGAGGAATGGGCCCTGCTGGACCCGGGTCAGAGGGCCCTCTACTGGGATGTGACACAAGAGAATTATGAGGCTGTGAACTGGCTGGGTAAGGATTCCTGTCCCCTTAAGTGTCAGAATCTGGGTGGGCTCTGGAGCAACTAGGTTGTGTTTGGTTCAGGGTCTCATTGCCCCCGGCCCTCCTATTTCAGGAGTCTCAACCCAAATAATCCAGGCTATCATGTGAGAGATTGTCTCCTTCTTATTCCTCCCAGAGGAAGCAGGTTCAGGGACATAACAATGGTGCTGCTCTTCTTACAGCCAGGGTCTCAGTGTGCTTCCTCACTATCTTGCCCGTGTTGTGCCTTGGCCAGATGTATCCGTGGAAGGGCCAACGCAGCAACGGCAGGTATCAGAGTTCTGGGGCTGTGTCCGGCTACTGTTATTGCCTGCAGGGTACCCCTTGTGACAGTGTGCTGAGCCCCTAGATGGAGGGCACAGTTCCCTGAGTTCTTACCTGCCTGTGGCTGATCTCTGTGACATGCTGGTTCCTGCCATTGAGAGGGGCTGGGTGCTGAGCTAAGGGAGGCAGTTCACGCTCCACGAGCGTTCTGTGGTGGATAGCTCTGTAGTAAATAAACATGAAGTGAACTCATTTTGCATTTCAGGCACTGCACTTGGTGTTAGAGACTTGTGTTCAATTACCTGCTCTGCCAGAGACTTCCTGTATGTGCCCCAGTCCTCTGTCTCTGCAATAGCTGATATAGTACGTCACAGGGCTGAGGAAGGATAAATCCATTAAATAGGGTAGTTGCTCAGCTCCATGTAGGTGCCCCAGTAGAACAGTGGGGTCTTGATTAACACTGGAGATCCCAGGTGGGGCTATAACTCATAATCTTTATGTCCCATAGCAGCTGCAGTGCTGTATGAATTGCTGCTGGCACTACAGAGTGTCATTATGGCTGGTCAGTGCGGCTCTTTCTGGCGCCAGCTGTACTGGCAGAACATTTGGCTTGCCCACGCAGCACAGCTCAGAGTTGTTACTATAGAAAGACACAGGCTCTGTTTGGCCAGGTTAATTGTCGAAGGAGCAGGATGCTAGTGTCCCAGCTCCCCTGGGCACAAGTACATTAAGACATATCCCACCCCGACAGTGGTATCGGCTGAGCCAGCAACCAGAACTCCGCCCGTCAGCCAGCACCGACATTCCCCTCCTGTTCTTTTATACATTGATACAAACAAGATGCATGTTGCGCTCCATGTGTTGCTACCCCCTTATCTTTTTAGCTGCCCATGGGAACAAAACATCCGTGTCCATTATCCCCTCATTCCAGCTGATTTTCACAAGGGTCTGTGTGTTCCTCTGCCATTTCTTAAAAGTGTGTGTTTGCAGTTACTGCAGAGACTGATGTGGTTTTGTATCCTCTTTTCCCATCTGGAATGTGCTTACATGGTTAGCTGGTACCTAATGTGCTACCATTCTGTCAAGGCCGGCCCTGTTCTGGTTCCCAGCTGTTGGTTAATACATTTATGCTGAGGGCTCAGCAAATCCTCTATTCCCATCCTTGTTGTCTTTTTAAGGAAGGGTGTTTATTCATCATTCTGGAAAAGCATGAACTGAAAATATGCGGTGGGCTAGCACTGTTTCTTGAATATTTTGCTTTACCTATCTAGGCATTCATGCCCCAAGGGTCCAGTGGTCTACATGTTGTCTCATACAGCCTGTGGACAGGTTTCCACTATCAAGTTATTTTCCATTATCCTTTGTCAGAATTTAGTGTTGGTGACACGACACTGAACAGGATGGTTTGGAACAACGTGCCTGAAGATGCAGTCTTACTGACTGCAAGTCATGGAATACACTCTTGCAAGTGATATGTTCTCTTCTTTACCAGAGTGAGAAGGATGCTGATGAGGAGGCCTGAAGACTTGTGGGGCCATACGTGTGCAGTGAGTAAATACAAATGTGAAGGCAAAAGTGCAGGAAGAGTCTCAGCAAGGGGTTTTGAAGGAGACAGAAAAGGAGCTGTAACCCTGGCACACTCCAAATATAGATAGGCCTGAGCCCTGGGTCTCCCGCTAGCCCAGAACAAACAAGTTCCAGGGAAGGCTGAAAATGGAGTCAGCAACATGCCCGTGCTCCATGACAGAGCCCAGCCAACTCTAATTCCTGGCGGGCCATGGAATGAAGGCGGAACACAGGCAGGCCCCCCAGAGCTCCTATACCTCATCCTGAAGAGGAGGCTGCACATCCAGCCAGTGTGTGTCTGGGCAGAACACGAGTCCAAGGGAATGACATGGGGCAATGTGAGTGTGCAGAGCTTCTCTGGGGATGGAACAGAGATTCTCAATAGGAGTGAGTTGAAATGGGAGGGTTCAGAGCGATGGGTGGGAGCTGATGTGTCAGGGACCTGACATCAAGCTTCAGCAAGCCAGGAGATACAAGCAGATGGGGAACACCTTGCCTGAGAACAGCCACAGAGACAGGGGGCAGAGTAGCCTTTACCTCCTGGAGCACACCATGGAAGACATGTGTCGGCAGCGCTATATACTGGGCAATTATACTGGGATCCACTTAGTCCCGTCAACCATAGTTCAGAAGGTCATTGACTTTGGTGACACCAGCCAGCGCCAGCCTTTGGAACACCTGAGGAACCTCTACCATTTGTGCCACAAGATGGGGGTGAACAAGAGGAGTTCAGGCAGGAGGTCTCCACCTTCGGGACATGGGGCAAATCTGGTTGCAGAGACCAGCTTTCAGGAGCTGATGAGATCTTTGCAGCTCTCAGAAATTTCAGAGGAAACACCTCAGAGGGAGCACAACAAGCTACTGGTCAAATCAGAAAACTGGGTGGCATCAGAGGCAGATGTAAGAGCACAAGACTATGGAAGTGGCCCTGGGGGATTCCTCTACTTGCCCCTCTCCATTCTGTAACTGCCCATTTATTCCTCATCAGCAGAGTGGTGAGCTCTCCCTGGGCTCCAAACAAATCATCTCCAGGAGGGGAGCAGCTCACAGCATTGGTGGCGCGTTTACACTGGTGCTTCACAGCTCTGTGACTTGCTAAGGCCATGCTGAGTAGTGATGCTGAGCACCAATTCCTCAGGGCATGGAGGTCCCATTTCTCCAGCAGCAGGATGCACACAGCTACTCCATAATAGGAGGAGCCACACGCTGCCCAGGGAGTCTGCCCTGCTCTTGACAAGGACATCCCAGAACGTGTGGTAGAGCTGCATGATTATAGAATCATAGAGCTGGAAGAGACCTCAGAAGGTCATCAAGTCCAGCCCCCTGCTCTAGGCAGGACCAATCCAAACAAAACCACCCCAGCCAGGGCTTTGTCAAGCCGAGACTTAAACACCTCTAGGGATGGAGACTCCACTACTTCCCTAGGTAACCCATTCCAGTGCTTCACCACTCTCTGAGGCTACGTCTAGACTGGCCCCTTCTCCAGAAGAGGCATGCAAAGTAGGCAAGTCAGAATAGGGAAATCCGCGGGGGATTTAAATACCCCCCCGCGGGATTTAAATAAACATGGCTGCTGCTTTTTTTCCGGCTTGGGGAAAAGCCGGAGAAAAAGCATCTAGACTGGCGCGATCCTCCGGAATAAAGCCCTTGCAAGTAGGAATAAGAGATCCTCTGGAAAAGGGCTTTATTCTGGAGGATCGCGCCAGTCTAGACGCTCTTTTCCGGCTTTTCCCCAAGGCGGGGAAAAAAAGCGGAGGCCGTGTTTATTTAAATCACGCGGGGGATATTTAAATCCCCCGCGGATTTCCCTATTCTGACTTGCCTGCTTTGCATGCCTCTTCCGGAGAAGGGGCCAGTCTAGACGTAGCCCTAGTGAAATAGTTTTTCCTAATAACCAACCTGGACCTCTCCCACCACAACTTGAGACCATTGCTCCTTGTTCTGCCATCTTCACTACTGAGAACAGTCTTTCTCCATCCCATCAATGCCTCCATAGCCACCGATGCCTGCAGATTGGTTAATGGGTATCTCACAGATCCTTTCTGAGAGCATGGCCAGAGTGGGAGAATGCTCTAGTCAGTCTCAGGTACCCATATTGACCACCAGGCCTGCGTCCCACAGGGCGGCTCAGAGATTGGTCCATCTGGAGAGGAAAGGCTGGTGTGGAAAACTGTCATCTGCTCTAGAGCCATGAGAATGGCGCTGTCCTCTTCTAGGGGTGAGGTGACTTTTTTCCCCTCTCTCTTCTCCAGAGCATACAAGAAGCAAGAGCCACAATGCTTCCCCAGAGTTCTTCCCATTTCTCCCAGCATTCACGGTAGAGACAGAGACGCTGAAGATTTGAAGCATATTTTTCAACCTCCATGACTTGATTAGGCAATGAGGCAGCCAGTCCATGACCATGTGCATTCAGCTACTATTGCTGCTGGGCTTAAAAACTGGACTTCTAGCTTCCTCAGCCAGGCAAGGCAGGGCAGCAGGCAGGCTGGCCCATTCATTAGGTGGCAGGAGTGCTGGGCAGGTGCAGCTGCAGGGCCTTGTTGCTGACTTTGGTCCCCTGGGATCGTCTCAGCAGCACAGTGTGGCATACCCCTTCCCTTCTCCTTCCCATCTCTGAGCCAAGGGAAAGATGTGCCTCTACCCTGGCCAGGCCAGCCCACCTCCCAGAAGGACTCCACAAAACCAACATCCTCCTACATGGTATTCTTACAATGCCAGCAAGCCAACCACAGCTGCTCAGCTAGGAGAGGGTGTCACTGTGCCTCTATGGGTCACAACTGGGAACACCAAATTCAGGACAGATTTCTGAGAAATAGGACAGGTACACCCCAAAACTGGTGGGCTACATCTACACTGGCCCCTTTTCCGGAAGGGGCATAGTAATTTTTGAGATCGTAATAGGGAAATCCGCGGGGCATTTAAATATCCCCCGCGGCATTTAAATAAAAATGTCCGCTGCTTTTTTCCGGCTTTTAGAAAAGCCGGAAAAGAGCATCTACACTGGCCAGATCCTTTGGAAAAAAGCCCTTTTCCGGAGGATCTCTTATTCCTACTTTGAAAAGGGCTTAAATATCCCCCGCGGCATTTAAATAAAAATGTCCGCCGCTTTTTTCCGGCTTTTAGAAAAGCCGGAAAAGAGCGTCTACACTGGCCAGATCCTCCGGAAAAAAGCCCTTTTCCGGAGGATTCTCTTATTCCTATTCAAAGTAGGAATAAGAGATCTTCCGGAAAAGGGCTTTTTTCCGGAGGATCTGGCCAGTATAGACGCTCTTTTCCGGCTTTTCTAAAAGCCGGAAAAAAGCGGCGGGCACTTTTATT